CACAAATTCCTTTTTATTTTCAAAAGTGCTTCACAAGCACAAAGCCCTCAAAGTGCTTTGGGCTTGACAAGCACAAAGCCCTCAAAGTGATTTGAAAAGTGCTTGAAGCACATCAAAAGTGCTTGGGGTGCCTTGAAAAGGGCTTCAAGCTCTTTAAATGTGCTTCAAGCTCTTTAAATGTGCTTGAAGCTCTTTAAATGTGCCTAAAGCACTTTGAATTTGTAATAAAATTCTCAAAGTGGCATGCTACCGCGTACACTCATCACACAGAATTGGTATAGTAGAGACGAACTTTACATTTCACAGAGTAGCAGTAGTATGTTTTTTTTTGAGATGTAGTTCTGGGGTACTTGGGGTACTACATGGTAATTCAATTTTAAGGTTTTGAAAATGTTCAATGGGGAAAAGTGGAAAAAATCCAGTGATAAAGTTAAATAGGTTACCAATATAAATTAATTATTTATTTGAATAATAAGTTCATTATTTTTTTTTTAAATTCCATTCTAAGCTCAAACCCAAAACCTCCATTGTTAAGAGAGAAAAGACATAAGACGGTTCAAGTTCAAATAATGGAAAAAAAAATTAAGGGACAAAACACGATCGAAAATTTTCAAGTGGGGGATAGGTTGAGTGATGGTCAATTCAAATTCCTTTCAAAGTGCTTCAAGCCCTTTTAAAGTGCTTCAAGCCCTTTTAAAGTGCTTCAAGCCCTTTCAAAGTGCTTCAAGCTCCCAAAAGTGCTTCAAGCCCTCTTAAAGTGCTTCAAGCCCTTTCAAAGGGCTTCAAGCTCCCAAAAGTGCTTCAAGCCCTCTAAAAGTAATTGAAGCTCATTGAAAGGGCTTGAATTACTTTTTTCAATTACAAATTACCAAGCACTTTTCTAAAGTAATTGACTTTGCAAGCCCCAATTACAAATCTATAAAAGAGCTTCAAGCACAGGGCTTTCAAGCCCTCAAAGGGCTTCAAGCACTTTCGCAAGCACAAAGCACTCAAGCCCTGCCCAGCTCTGTACCATACCATACCAAGGACTACCATGTTTGATTTTTTTTTTTTGTTCAACTATGTCTGTGTGATATTCTTATACATGTCCCGTAGGCCAGGCACCCCCATTAACCTGTATTTACAACGAATAGGTATACTCGTACTTGACTTTGAACGACACGATGCAAAATACGAGTCATCTCGTAGCTGGCACCTGTAATAAGATTGTCTACTACGAGTTAACTCGTACTTGGCAGCGAACGTGTTAAGGGTATTGAATGCGCCTCACTGCCAAAATATTTTTTCCTGCGCAAAGCACCTAATGCAGTCTATCATTGTTATTCTTCCGCTCCGATTAATACTCCTTAGTGGAAATGAGATGAATGAAACAAGGAATGCATTGCATTCTTAATTTCAACCTAATTTTTTAACAATTGAAGTTATATATCAATAACTTTCTTTTTTGCATTCGATTTATAATATAGGGACGAATGGCGCTATCTTTTTAGAAATCCGAAAATAGAAACAAGTTCTCGAAAAATTACAAAAATGTAATTTAAACTGAAAAAAAAAACAAGAAAGTTAATCAATTTATGGTGTTTTTTTTAGTTAGCGCCATTCTTATGTGTGTTAGCAATACAATGGCCCAAACCAGAATTCCAAAAATTATCTATTTTTTTTTGTAGAAATTTAATAGATTCTTCTTGTCATTTTGTCTATCTCTGTTATGCCTGCAGCAAACCCCATGGCTCTTTCCTCCGCCTGTTTTTCTATACATTTTAAATCGCCGTGCTGAAGGATCCAGTGCCGACCGGCTCAACAGTAGCCCAATGCAATGATCGCGATGAACCTCGCGTCTTTATTAGTATTAACTTATTGGGTAGTTGTATAGTTCGACGTGCGTTACAATATAATTTAAACGCCGCATTCAATCCCCTTAACCATTAAGTTTATATTTTTGTTAATTTTAATAAAATCCCTAGATAAACTAAATGAAGAAACCCGTAGAATTAACTAAAAGAAAAAAAAGATCCGATCGTATTTTTTTCAAAAAAAGATAGGTAATTAGAAAAAGAAAGCACACAACAAATATGACCGACAGTTTCAACAGCACCCTTTCCCGCTTGTCCGTCTTCTCGCAAAAACAATAAAATTGCATGAAATACGCGGACATGCGACCCAAGTTGGATTAGGAGCTGGAAATCTTGCAGCACAATTTCCGCCTAAATTTCGCTATCTAAACCCAGGACCAAGTGCGGCGCGGGGCGATGGGAAGGGTACACAGGCGTGCACAGAACTCGAAAGTGGCCCAGCTATGTTATGTTGTACGCGAAACCCGTATTATTAACTTGCCATGGTTGGTCGACTGTAGCGTTCGGAAGCGTCCGTCTCGCTCAAAGATGGAAAATATTATTCCAGGCAGCGTGGATCGAAGGCTTACTATACTAACATGCTCGGCCGAAAATATACTGTTCCAATAATTTCAGTCGGTTTTACTTTTAATTGAAAAAATTATAAATAATTAAAAAATTAGTCAAGTAATTATGAAAATTTTGGGGGTTCTGCAGCTCTGCAGCCCTTATGCACCAGCCGCCCCTGGTCCAAGTATCTTGACCGCTTTAGGAGGTGCAGGAGGATTTAACTTCTCAGTAAAATTTGAATTGCATTACACTCAAATACAGAATATGAAAAATTGAATTTGTCCAAGTCAATGGTCTTTGATCGCCAATAGACTCCCCCACAATCTACAATCTATGAGATGAAAGTAAACTTCCGACTCGTGGCTGGAAAGTTAAAGTCAAAAAAGTGACATTTTCAAACTTTTTAAATTGTTTTTTGGGGGACACATTTTATTGGTAATTTTACCCCCTACCTGTCAACCCCTAAGTAGGGGTGACAGGTACCCCCAAAATTTCAAATGAAACGGTGGGTCGAGTGATGCGTCATCTGATAGCTATTTTCATTGAGATTATATCCCCGAAGTTTCAAGTTTCTAGTATTTACCCTGTCAAAATGGCGGCTTGTCAAAGTTAGGAAAAATCAATGGAAAAATGCTGTGTGGTTTTTACATGTTACCTACGCATAGGTGTGACAAGTAAAAACTATACAGTTTAGATTATCGAAAAAAAGCATTTAGCCTAAATTTGACATGCCGCCATTTCGGCAGGGTAAATAGTAGCAACTTAAAACTTCGGGGATATAATCTCAATGAAAATAGCTACCAAATGACATATCACTCGACCCCTCTTTCCATTTGAAATTTTGGGGTTACCTGTTACCCCCACTTAGGGGTTGCCAGGTAGGGGGTGAAAATACCAAAGAAAGACAAGATGATAATGTGACTTGACAAATAAAGTTAATAAATCAAAATGCAGTGCAAATCAATGGAAGAAACAAAGAAATAGTTATTTATGTATCAAGGGTACTAAGTAGATGATTATGACCTGAGGGCGACAGTCTTACAAAGCCGAGGGCCTCTGGCCCGAGGGTTCGTAAGTCGCCCGAGGGAATATATATCTATTAGTACCCGTGGTGCATACAAACTTTTATGTCATACCAGTTGGTTGTGAATAATAAATACCTGGGAGAAAAGTGTCACTTCGCAAATTGTCATCAGTGTGCACACATCATAATTTTTTGACAAAAATAATATGTTTATCAGCGAAAATTTATATTTTGTTAATAAAGAAAAAGTTAATTGAAAACTGTTTTTTGCGTCTTTATGCCCGCGCGGGCCATAATCTGTACTTTATGCCCGCACGGGCATAAAGTAATGAATTATGTAGATGATATCTAAGGTATAAAAACACAATAATGTATTGGTATGACATAAAAACTATTATCATTATCATTTGAAAAGATTCAACGAAACTAATTAAGATTTATGGAAATCAACATTCAACTTTTCATAAATCATGAAAAAGTATCAGTCTCAGACATCCAGACATTTATTTTGTTACATCTCAATATTATATAAAAACTTTACAGATGGCAAAGCCCCAAATTGCTCGATTCAATGAAATAATTTTATGATATCACACAGTCAATAAACAGCATTTTGCAGAATTTAAAATACTAAGAAAAAATTATCAATTAGCATTAGCGTAAATTTCCGATAATTCTTTATATTCATTGCTGATAATAATATGTATCATAAATAGAATTTCCACATATTACTGAGATGATAACAATATTATTTAGGAACTTGTTAAATAATACCTATTGGTACAAATTTAACTATAATGTGGCAAATCAAAACAGTCTAAGATTATATTAACTTTGGCATTCCAGGATATTCAAATTGGAACGTTCGACCTTTAAATTTTCGAGTGTTTTAAGTGTACGTAGTGATCCCACGCGGCGTCGGCTGACGCCTGGATTTATTTATAGTATGTCCTAAATTTTCCAGAACTCTTATATTATCCACGTTCTTGATGATTCAAATGAAACGAGGACCCAGAATCCAGGATATTGTATTTGTGAGGTCGATGTAATGTTTTGGACCCTTTTATATAGAGACTCATGCCGATTATTATGTGAATTTTTTTATTAGATATTATAATTCACATTTCAAAAAATTCTGCAATAAACTTGATGGCACTATCTAGAGTTGACTGTGAGTCTAGTTTTGAGTGAAAATCTTAAATTTCTCAACAAAAGAAAAAATGATAGAATATTTTCTTTCTCACAAGCAAATTTTCAGATAATTACTCATCTGAAATTTTCCAGTACCTATACCCCAATAGAGATAGTTCTATATCAACAGAATCAGGCTCCATAATATCCTGAAAATTTCTCACTATGCTGCCAACTCCACAAAATTAAATGTGATCAAAGAGACCTCTATCTCAATATAAAAAAAATCATCGGCCAATCTGTCATCAGCTTTATAAAAATTATATACATGCACTAAGCCAAGACTGTTTTAAAAATAAAACATTTCAAATTGATTTTCTAAAATGATGAGCCAACTTGCTTAAATATAATTGTTGATAATATTACATTAGGTAGGTACTTACGAGTTAATTTAATAACTTCCACAGCTATGATCGGGCTTAAGTAGTTCGGGTAATTCTTGTAAGGGTAATAATAGCTGGCAAAGCCCTGGGGCCAGTAACGGAATCCTTGGACGTTTTCCTTGTCAACGTCGTCGACTCCTTGACAGGATACCCACACTTGCTTCTTTTCAGCTGCAGTTTTTGTGTTCTGAAAGATGAAACAAATACTATTATATCGATTAAAACTTAATACGGATATGATGAGATTACTAGTTACTCTATGTTAATCCGTAATCGTTACTACAAAAGTCCACCAGCATAAAAAAATGATAAGACAGGACAATGCATTGCTTATTACGTAGGTACTTAGAATCATATTTGCATCAGTTAATAATTGTGTCAGGGAGAAACTTTCAATAGGTAGTCAAATGTTACACCAAAAACAACATTTTAATTTAACTCGAATTATACTGGAACTTCAAGAGTGATATTTACTTTCATAAAGATGTATTATTTTATGGTAATAAACTTATCTCGGGCAAGTGCATTTTTGAATCAGACTCATCAAGGTGTTACGGTTACGTCCTGGTAAGAAGAAAGCTCCAGAGCCAATTTTTTCCTAGCCTGACGGATAAATGAATTTATCTTGCTTCACTTGGGAAAGGTATTCCAAAAATAATCAAAAAAGACTATGAATAACCCAAGCTGCCTTGGCGCAAAATTTGGATGGATTTCATGTTTGTTAAATCTCAAACTTCTCTATAATTATTAATAGCAAACCTTCTGCGAATATCTTTACTTGCTTGAAAAATAAATAAGTATTCATGATATTCGATCCAAATTATCATGACCCATCTGCCAAAGGGTTGCCATGTCAGATCTTTAACCTAGCCAGGAAGTGCTGTTATCAGTGCGGTTGCCAATAACTTAATAATTTCTAAAGCCAAGTAATATCGGAATAAACTACTTAATTCAGTGTTGATAGATAAGATAGATAGATTTATTAAGACAATAGGCATTACTGTATTTTTATCTGAATTTTTCTCTTCGTCGGATTGCTGAAATTAATGCATTTGGTTTTTTTAATGTCTGGGGACAGGTTTGTTTGTGTGAAACCAGCTTTCCAACATTTCCACATCTTTATCTATCCTCTGGATGTCTTCACCGCAGTCGCCGGTCCATGTGATCGTTGTGTCGTCGGCAAACAATGTCAGGTGTCCACTTATAGGTAGACATGGCCGTTTTCATCTCTAGTTTCTACCAGCAAAGACTCAATCCATGCACCTATAGTCCCACGAAATCCATAAGTAAGTAGCCAATTTTGATAATAAATTTCTCTGACTGACGCAATCGAACGCTTTCTCCAGATCCAGACATACCATAACAATTATTTTACTTGAGTCTCTTGCTTCATAATGGGCTCTATGCAATTTCCGATGGCGTCTGCTGTGTTTATGTTGGTTTGGATGCCAAACTGCTGTTTATGTAAAATATGGTTATTACTTATGAACGTAAGCATCGTATTTTTAATCAACCTTTCCATTATTTTCGAAACAGTTGATAACACAGCGATGGGTCTGAAGTTTGAGAGTTCGTTCTTGTTACCGTTTTTGTGTATTGGAATGATCTTTGATATCTTTATTTACTGCTTGGAAAAACACCATTTGTGAACGAATCATTTATCGCAGACACCATTATGTTGTCCAAGTCCAATTCATAAATTCCAGCGGATTTTTTTCTTGGTAGCTTGTTTATTACATCCATTTGAGTGAGACATACTTTGGTATTTCCAAGAGTATTTTCTTGGTAGTGTTGGAATGTTTTCTGCAATCTTGTCGGCAATGGCTGTGAAAAATGCATTGAGTTCTTCTGCGGCAGTTTTTGGGTCCTGTTTATGATTGAGTTACTTTTAGGGGTTGTATTTTCGTTGACGTGACCTCTGATCTCATTGACGATTTTCCATGTTTCTCTGTTGATCATCTTAAATGTGTTATTCTATTAAGGTAATGTGGACTTTAGGCCTTGCTGACCTGATAATTTGCTTGAAAATATTTTTATACCTTCTAGAACTTGCAGAAGAAATTAAGTGATCGTTTATTTTTCGCTGAGATCTTGATCCTCTTTCTTATCCATAACTTCTTTTCGGTGGTTCTAGTCGTTCTGGTGTTTGGTTTGTAGTTTGCGTTAATTGCCTCTAAGTAGTACCTATCTCATATAGAAGCTGTCAATTATGCTGCCCGCTTTGTTCAATACATTATTCCAGTCTACACCATTATTTATATGCCTGCAAAAGGCTTCATAACTTTTCGTGCTGAATATTCGTCTAGTTATTGATATTTTATCTTCAATCTGAATGGAGCTGCTCATTTTGCCGATGATAAGTTTATGATCGGACAAGTCGTTTGGGTGTATTATTTCTACTGATAACTCACCTCGTGGCAGATTTGTGTTTAAATATTTGAATATGGTAGACGATGACTTGGCTATTCTAAGGTGCATTTTTATTTCACACGCTTGCAGACAGCATTTGAGTTGAACAGTAAAATGACTATTTTCCAGGTAATATTGATGATATTGAAATCGCCTACCACGATTTCTTTGGCAGGGTGCAATGCAGGCTGATACAGATTTCAAAGAGGTTGGAACAAAACTAATTCACGTCGCTACTGGGTGCTCTATAGACATTTATTATGTACAAACTATAACATCGAATATGTTGATTGCACTTCCTCCATGTGCACTATTCAACCTGGTGTAGAGTGATATTGTTTTGTAGTTCTGTATTGCTATCTTTTCGCTCTCTGTGAGCCAATGCTCGGTAAAACACAATATTTCTAAATAGTTTAGCTCGTTTGATAGTTCTTCTATTTCGCCAATTTTGCTTCTGATGGATTGGATTTTCATACTGATGCTCGCATCCTTGTGATCAGTATTGCCGCTTTATTCGATGGGGTACTTGGAAATCACCGGTTGATGTTGGCAGAATTTTGAAGATGTGGCTGGTATTTATATTTACTTCCGTATTTGCTATGGGTGCATTGACTGGTTGGAAGATTGCATTATCTAATGAAGATGTATCCTTGGTTGTACTAGTTTTCTCTGAGTGTTCTGTATCTTTCTGTGCTTCATTCCCTCGGCTGATTTTATTTGACGTTGAAGTCCACCTTTTTCTGGTTCTCTGGCAAGTATATGCTCTGTACATATGCACTGAATTAACTTTCCCTTTCTTGCCTAGGATAGGTATCCGTCATAGATTTTATAAAAAAAATGAGTCAGAGAAGAAAATATTTTTATTCAATTTATCCAGCTCTGTCTGAATTGTTGCATTTTGTTCCCGTATGAATCTGTTTATCTCGTCAACAATGTCTTCAAATGTTGCTGTTTCCCCATTTTGAGTATTCGTGTCAAATTTATTATATGTTGCATTCTTGAGGACCTGCCCCAGCCCCATACTTTGTACACTGCGGTTTCCTACTACTAGTAATATTGGTTCTTTGATTGATCAGTTTGGCTTTCCGATGTTATATTTCTTGCTGTCACTACTTCGAAACCTATTCCACAGATGTTATTCAATTATTTCAAGTTATTCTGTATTTCGTGGAGAGCACCAGTCTATTGATGGTTTCGTTGATGCTTGCTTTCTTCATCCTAGATGTCTGCCAGTTGTTGTCTGGTTTTTTTCAGATCAGCCATATAACATTCGTTTTCTTTTTGTTAGGACTTCAATAGATACAAGCATGCTGTTTTTGATAACTTCCCAATCCTTGCACATTTTTGACATGTTAATATTTTCAGTCTTTAACGTTTCCATTTCCTCTTGAAGTGTTTGATTTTTTTATACATGGTGCAGAATTTCCTGTTCTTGTTTTTTTTGTGTTTACCTTCATGTCAGTAATTTCCTGGAGGTATTTTTCCTCGACAACACACTACATCAGTGAAGTCCTGAGTATTTCTTCTTTGCATTTCGATGTGTTTTTTAATTGCTTTATTTCCCATCTCTGAACTCATCCTTCATCTTCAATTTCAGATGTTCAATTTTCCTGTCCTTTGTTGTATTCTCTTTCTTTAGCTTACAGTATTTTTCCTGGAGTTGTTCTAGGTCTCTATTTCTGGTGTCGTGGAGCTTCTTGAATTCCTTAGAGCATAGTATTTTCGCGGACTTAATGTTAAGTCCTAGATGTTCATCTATTGCTGCAGCTGCTATGGAATATGCTTAAGCATTGGACACAGGACACCGTATTGCACGGTTTGTTTTTGCAACACTTATATGTAGGTTTGGGACCATCCTGGCTGGTTTTTTCATCCGGAATATCATATTCGTTATTGGAAAAAAAAAATTCTTACCTCTTTCGAGAAGATTCTATGAACATTTGTTCATTTTTTATTTATTGGTATGTCAGAGTTAATACCCATAGTAGGTAAAAATACCGAAATTTTTATTGCTTGATTCTACAGTTGCCAAAAAAAATCCGCAAATAATTGGAGGTATGGCACATAGCATATCCTCTATTGTTGCATCACTTATAAAAGATCCGAGCTTTGCAAAAAATCTCGCCCACTATATAATTCTGTAAACTTGGGCACACTCGGGCTTTTTATACGGTTTGAATATAAATAACTTAGAAAGACCTTTATGATTTTGTGTCTTTCTTATCACATTTTCCATTTATTTTTTATTATTTATTTATAAGTAGTTTGTCATTCTTTATTTTCTGATTCAAAATCTTTCAATCCCCAAGTTCATTATTTAAAACAGGTTCATCGGGTTCCAATTTGCATCATTTGAATCTTCAAGGTCAGTTAAGCTATATGATTTTAGTGCATTGAAGGCAGGAACTACACGATAAAGTTTTTGAGATTTTTGTATGTACTCTTTTCTAGAATGTTCGGTAGCAATAGATTATCCTATTCTCAGCATTACAAGAACTAGAATTCCTGATCGAGAAACGTCTGGTTTAGATCTATTTGTTATTTTTACTCTGTCTTTGTTTCGTTTGATCCCTCAAGATATGTTGTACGGCTTGTCTATTTTCGCATGTGCTTTTAATTCATTTCTAATTCTGTCTATGCAATCATGTTGAATTTCTATTCTCAAACTATAGGTAGAACACTTGCTTGATAAATCGGATTATTATTACCTACTCCATTGCACTTCATTTCGTTGCGCATCCCAATCTACTTAATCCTCTTCTTGACTGAGACGTTGGGACTCCGTTCAATCTTTTGCTTTGTTTATTAGCTCTATTCGACTCGAACTCATACAACCTGAGCCGGTATTCTGGTTCTCAAAAACGCTCACCGCTTCTAAGTCGCTCGGCACTTTTAATGTAAAATCAGATCACGACGTAATTTGGCTAAAAATTACTTCTACGAACATGGTTAACTTTGTTTGCTGCGTGTATCTTTCCCCAACGACTTCAGTTGAAAATCTGCCATCCGAACTCCGAAATTATACTCTTGGGCGATTTTAATGTTCATAACTCAGAGTGGCTTAAGTTCTCGAATAAAACCGAGGTTGCACAAGAAGCTACCGAAATAATTTCCCCAGGTGTGGAATTGTACCACATTGTCCACACATCAATAAAATATCCCGTGCTGGAAAACCCTGGTTCAACAAGCAGTGTGTCCAAGCGGTTGCCAAAAATGTACAAGCAAATCGTACCTGGCGTAGAAACAAACTCGATCGTCCTTTACGGCATCCCGAAATGATTGTAACCAAAGAGGCTAAGGAGTTACACAACCCAACAAGTGCGTAATCGACCTTTGGACTGGCCGAGCGGATTAAGATCCTTTTGGTCCTTTGCCAAGACCATAGGAAAAAATTTCACATCTTCTTCCTTTTCACCTTTAGTTAAGGACCATAATTCTATTGCAGTGTCAAAGGAAAAAGCAGATCCCTTTGCCAAACAATTTCTATCCAATTCCACGATGAAGGACAATGGCAGAACGCCACAGGTACTGCCATACATTGGTTCTCACATGGACAACAGACATTCAGACCTAAAACTATTAGGAAAATTCTCCTGCAACTTGACACTGGAAAATCTTGTGCTTCAGACGGCATTACACCCATAATTGTCCTCAAAACTTGCGCACAAGAATTGGCTCCAGTTCTTTGCAAACTGTTTCCACTTTCTTACAGTCGAGGCACTTTCCAGTCTATCTGGAAATGTGCCAGAAATTTAGCCCATCCCGAAAAAGGGCAAGAAAACTCTTTCTAGCAAGTATCGTCCCATCTCACTTATATCGGTAGGTACCTACCTTCGTAAGTAACGGAAAAGGCTGTCAACTTGAAACTCGTTAAATACTTCGAAGCCCATCTCTGACAAAGAGTACCAGTACAGGTTTTGTTCTAAAAGAGCAACAGGAAATCTGCTGGCGTACGTTATTTTCCGAACGAATTTTTCCATTGGCTCGGGAGCTTTTTGAATGGCATGTCACTGCATGTTGTGGTTGATGGTGTGTCTTCTGATATTATTGCCTTTGGCCGATAATCCAACTTTCACGGATTCATATAATCTATCGAACATAGACGTAATGTGGCCGATTTGTCGTTGTTCTATTGTTATATTAAGGTTATTATCGAAGGTTATCACCTGGGAGATATTATTTGAAAACCACAAGAACCTCACAGGCATTGCAACCTCTAAATATTAGGGCTTCTTTTTGATGACGTGCTGCCTACCTCTGGAAGCCCCTGCCTCCTACTTAGTTTCCTAAATGTTTCAACCTCAACGGGTTCAAACGGAGAGTTATCTATTTGTCACTTAATTTATTCCTCTCATGGTACCGTTTGGGTATTATAGACTTTCAGCTGTATGCAACATCCTCTTTTAGCTTAAAAGCGCTTTTTAAAACTGGTCACTTTTAAAAATGTGTATTCTAAGCAATGCAAATTTTTAATAGTACCAGTTTTAAAAAGCGCTTTTAAGTTAAAAGAGGATGTTGCATACAGCTGTTTTTTATCTTTTGTGAGCGAGCCAATACAAAAAAATAGTATTTTACATACCGAGTAGGGAAGTGTTTCATTACTGTCGAGAGATTTATATAGTAGACTATTAATCTCGAGACAGAAATGAAAACTTTCCTCCGAGGTTTGTATACTATTTTATTTGCAAGCACACCATTAATTATGATTAGTCATTCAATTTTTTTAATATTAAAAAAATAAAACAAACATGCCAAAATATGTCAATCACCTGTTTTGACGTTTTTACCTGACATGTTCTCATTGTTGCCAGCAAAGGTAAATAAATTACAGTGAAGGAAATCGGTGAGGGAAGTCGAATATGGAAGGTGAGGGAAATCGAAGAGGGAAGTGACACAGGTAAAGTGTCACTTTCAAATTTTTAAAAAGTCAGTAATGTCGAGATTACATAATATATGGTTGCAAATAAAATATATTCTTATTTGGAGAATAGACCGATCTCCTATTACCTGGACTGCGCGCGTCGCTTGTAGGCTGCAGGTGAGCGTCCAATGAAAAACAGGTTTGTTACAGGCTTACGTCATATTCTTATTCAGGGGCCAGTTCAGAATGAATCGTTCCTTCTTTCATTGTGCGATGTTGCCGGATGAAACATTTATCAAAATAAATGTGCAAACCATGTTAACATACACTTTTCAAGCGCTTCTTTTGTCTGATTTAAGGCGTTTTAAAACACTTGACACTATATCACTTTTTAATGTTATAATGTTCGATTGTATTCTCTACATTTGTTCTGCAATAATACAATCTGGCTACACTGCACCTACGAGTTGCGCGCGCATGTCATCTTTTATTACTTTCTAACTTGTATTTATTACAATTGAGCTCTCTTTTTCTATTTATGCGAGACAGGTCTATTCTATCCAAGTTTGTTCTATTGTGATAAATCCATGTACACATTTGTCGCGTTTTCAGGATCTCATCTGTACTGTCTTTCATGTTCTCATACTTAATTTGTCGAAATTCCAGTGCAGTGATTCTTTCTCCAGGTTCATTTGTCTCTCTAACAGAGGGCAACACCATTCAGTTGACTTCTCTCTAAGATGGAAGTAGGTAGAACCTTTTTCAAGTTGGGCTTCTCCTTGAAGTTTAGGTACTCAGTTTCGGGGTTCATAGAAACTAACTACTTACCTATCTCATTTCTCAATCTTATTGCATCCTCAAGACAATATTAGTGTAGTAAAGAAATTGGCTTTCGTAGACATCTACCTACATTTTCGAGAATTCCGCATCTTACAAAGCTTCAATAAGAATTCAAGACAGTAGTTGATCATTAGCGCATTAGCGAATTAGGCTCTTCAGTAACTCAAAGCCAATCAACAAAAAAATCCGATAATGCTTAACGGTAACAAATCCAAAACTGAAGGATTTGGGCTGATAAAGAGAAATTGCCTCCCCCATCCTCAGAAATTCACTAGGTGCGCTCTTTCAAGAAGCCATGACAGGACGATTTCTTTTTTTGAGGATGCGAATGGAAATTATGTTAGGTGATGTCGTAAAAGAATTTGCTGGCGAGCTACTCTTGGGCCTGAACTTTTAAGTAATTGGTATTTGAAAACAATATTGTCTTTAAAACTAAATGCCGTTTCTTCAAAGAAAAAAAAAGGGTTCTGAAGTTTTCATTTTAATTAAACCAAAATCGCAACTTACATTATCGATATGATATTTCAAATCATCCGGCATCTCCTCCAGCGAACTAGTATAATAATCAGGCGTCCAGCCGTAGATCTGCGAACAGGAACAGAAACTATTGCAAGATATTAATAAGATTATAGACACTCGGGACTTACTCCCGAGTAGGTCTTACCCGATTGAGTTTCAGAAATATACAAGGCGACGAGCCGTTGTAACCGTAGGCACGTTCTTCGTTACAATTTCCCAAAGCCGAGAGGTCCGTGAAGCAAACTTCACCTTTGGCTGGTTGTTTTTCGAAGTCGCAGTTGACGTAGTTTTGGCCTGTTTGTGTTGCGTTGTAAGCTGGAAGAAAATTGAGGATTGAAGTGACTTCACCAACTAAATTTAACATCAATGATTGCTCCCTATAGAATCTAGCAAATACAAATCAAACTCCAAAAACTCTGGGTCTCTTAATAAGTCTGATACATCATACTACTGATAGCAATTTGCGTTTCTAGAAGTAGCTAGAATCAGTGATTACCTAACAGCTGATTTTGAAGATATTTGTAATCAAAAATGTTGACTTCTAATAATCTGATAATGAAACCAGAAAAAAAAGAAATTGTCTCTGAATTGCATACCTAATCCCTTATAGAATATTCTCTTCTCAATACCTGCTAGGAGGAAAATGACAGTTTTTTTTTCTCATTTTTTATATGTATATTTAATGTGAAGATATTTATCTCCTGTATATTCCATAAACTTCGTTTTGCTATTTACTTTAATAAAAAAGCCATCTATTAGATATTTTGTTGTCGTTAACTTCAATATGATCGTTCCATTGAAGGGTGTTAATTGGAAAATCAATAGATGATGTGGACTCTTTGGCGACATGTCTCGTCCTGATTAAGTTAGTTTCTTACAATAGATTTGAGTGACATTTTCTCCGCTGATTAAAAAAAAATAAAGTTCCCACAACACCAAGTATGTATTGAATTAGCCCAAGACGTAGAGTCAATAAAGTCATTGGACAGACCATGAAAATGATAAAAGAAATGCACAAGAGAATAAAGTTGTCAGAAGTATTAGAAAAATCGTGTTACGATGAGAAATCCCAATTCTTAAAATCATAGCTCTTTTTATCGCCCAGAATTCGACAGTGTCGAAGGCTTTCCCAAGATATGAATGGCTAGCCATGTTTGTAATGTTATATTCGGTCGTCTTTCCATTTAGTATTCTTATTGTGTGAAGATGTTCTTATCTATAGTGATGTAACTCTTTCTATAGTATGCTTGTTCTTTAAGTTGGTAAGTATCTAATTTTCTTTCTAGGCGGTTGGTGATTATTCTCATAAACAGACGACAATGGCGGATTAAATGGGTCTATACTTTTCAAGATTTAATGGGTCTCCTTTTCAGTATATCTGAACGATCATGTACTCTCCCAGTCTTGTGGTATTTTTCCCTCTGTTAGACATTTATTGAAAAGTATTTTCGGTTGTTTTACAAGGTATTCTCCTGTCGCCTTCACCATTTCTGGTAGTACGTCGTCAATTCCTGGGGCTCTTCCGTTGTTTAATTGGCTTAGCGCTTCCGCAATTTCTTCCTCTTCCATACCAGGGATCTCTTCTGAACCAACATTTAGAATTTTGATGTTTCGATTTCGGTTTCTTATATGTTATTTTCGTTGTTGCTTTTTGCGTCGTATGGTTTCTTATAGAAATTTTCCGCCACACGCAATATTTCATTTCTGTCTTCTATAATGTTTCTTTGTCCATCAGCTTTGTAATTTATCTTTCGCCTGCGTTTTTTTTTTTGAAAACGTTTAAGCGGTTTTTTTCTATCACTTTTTCGTTATGTGCTTCTTGGTAGTTTTGAATATCTTGTTTTGTCATCCTTCTGGCTATTTTGTTAGTCTCTCTGTATTCTGGGTGTATCTTTTTTATCCTTGTTTTATGAGTTCTCTTCTTTTCTCCAGCATTTGTTTTGTTTTTTTTTTTGCTAAATTTTTCTGGCCTACTCTTTCGGTTCATGATATTTTTTGCTGTTTACTTTATTGTTTCCTTTATTCCCTTATCAATTTGATTAATGTCTTCGTGGGGTTTCATGGGGCCTTTCTCGAATTTTTGTGGTAATTTTGTTGCGATTTCTTTTTTTTTGTGTTTTACTGGTATCTCTGCTTAATTTTTTTGGGGGCAAATGAATTTCTTTGCTCTTTCTTTCTAGTCTGCCGTTTATGGCTATTTTACATCTTATCATTCTATAATCGCTGCCAATCGTGAATGAGCCTAAGATGTCTACATCTTGGATTATGTGTTTTTGATTTGTCAGTATAAAATCTACTTCGTTTATGGTCTTTCCATCCACGTCCAGTTTGTTAGGTCTCTTTTTGAAGAATGTGTTCATCGCAAAGAGTTGTTCTCTTTCTAAAAAGTGGATTAGCATTTTGGCTCTTTTATTTCTTGTACCATGTCTGAACGAAATAAATTAGTAGAAACCGAAAATAAATGAAACTTGTTTTCGCTTTTGGCTCCAGGAAGAAAATTAAACTGGGTCAATATTTCCCAAATTACATTCAAACCTTTGAATCATTGAATAGGCTCTGAAAGAAACCTTTTGTGCGTGTTATGTGATTTAATTTTAACGGCCGCCCCTAATACCTAATGGTTGATTCGATTTCCGTCGTTTGTGAGCTTTTTATCGTTAAGCTCCGAAAAATAAAACTAAATCTAGCTCGTTATACTGTCACTTACTTTTTATGTTCTTGCCTAATGAAAATTATTCGAAAAAACAAATATCAATATTTTTACCCACAGTCGCATTTTTACTATCTATTATTTGTCATGAAACATTTTTTCTTCTTGGGACTTGGGAATAATTTCCTTGAATATTGTCTCTATTAAAAGCTATCGAAAAAAAAACACCTTGAACGAATCCTCTTCGATAGTCCTTTCTGTAAACGACATTGGTAACGACAACATAATACATGTCTCTCTATCGCAAATACTGTTGGCTTGCAATGATCATCATTTTGTTCCGTGATCCTTTGACTGTGAAGAAAAGAGTTTTTGCTTCGTAATTTTGCCTTAACAAGGTCCAATGTCAAAAATAAGCTGAATCTCTAACACCGTCATAACTGTCTCAAAAGATTGGGACATTGCTAACAATAAACTACGTACAACGTCTTCATTACTCCTATCAGCACCCACAACATTTCAAGTGCTTAATAATTGTGTCTGCAAAGTCAATGAAAATATAGGGTGTCCCAGCCGAGAGTGACCCATTTTAAATGCTTATAACTTTTAAACCAGGTGTGCTAGCTACCTGCGGTTTGTGACATTCGATTCCCCTTGACGTAAAGTTTCTTGTAGTATGTTGCAAATTTTTCTGCCTCTTATACAGGACGAGTTAGAAATTAATTTTTTTTTTCAACATCGAAATTCTCCACTATTTTTTAATGGAACACCCTGTATATCACAACGTCAAAAAAAAGAGTCACGTTCAAGGTATCCATGTACCAATAAACATCGTCTTTTGAACTTGAAGTTTTAGCCCTAAAAAATCAAAATCGAAATCCCTGTATTTTTTACTACCATATTAACAAAGCTTGGAAGTTTACGGGTCAATTCTGTGCACATTTATAAGCAATTCTATAAATTTCTATAAGCCTATAGTTGCCTAAAAACAATTTGTAATTCTGCAGATTACAGAATATATTATAGGATCGTAAATAGTTCCGATGGAGTGTTTGGCAATCGATGCGTTTTGCAGTGTCTATAGGCTTATAAAAGTTTATAGATTTGCTTACAGATGTGCACAGAATTGACCCGTTAGTTTGCCTACTAAAAAGTTAATAAAAACTGCATAAAACTATAAAAAATGCTGTATATGTTAGCCATTATGCTCCACACATTTATGGATAAATGGTTAAATAAATTTTGTAACATTTCCTGGGAAATCGCTTCAATGACATTACGAATGTTCCACTTAAGATTTTCCAGGCTATTTGGCAAAGGATTACAGGATCTCTCCTTGACATAATCGAAGAGAAAAAAGTCTGGAACTGTCAAGTCAGGAGAGTAAGGTGTCCATATTCTATAGGACCAGCTCTCCCAATCTATCTTTTTCCAAATATCATAACTAGTGATTCCCTTGCTATTAAACAATAATGAGGTGGGGCACCATCCTGCTGAAAATAGATACCGTTCAAGATACCCTTCCGTCTTAATTGTGTATAGAAGAAATTTCTCAACATATTAGTGCGAGTATTAGTGTATACAGTTCCTGTTATCGATGGTTCATTATTGAAAAATGGCTGCACACCAAGCCGTTCACTTTTGGGGTATCTCGCTATTCTTACCGAAGCTCGTTAAATTCTCTTGGAAAATGTATTTCAACTTGTAACTTGAATAATTTGATATCTAACTTGATAGTTACAAAATTGTTTGCCATAGTGATAGCGAGTACCTACAACATGAAGTTGCATGCGTTTGTAAACATACCAGGATTTCGATTTTGATTTTTTACAACTAAAAATTCTAATTCAAAGAACGATGTTTATTCGTACATGGATACCTTGAACATGACTCATTTTTTTGACGTTGTGATATACAGGGTGTTAAAAATAGTGGAGAATTTCGATGTTGAAAAACGGATTTTTTTTTACTCCCCCTGTATAAGAGGCAGAAAAATTTGCAACATAACCAGTGATGTAAAATGACGGTCATTTAAAATCGTGACGGTCATTTGCGTCATGACGTGTCATGACGGTCATGACCATGGTCATAGTTCAGAGTCATTATTTCAATTTTAAACGCCACTACCTACAGTCATCGTCTATTAATTCACAAATGGGTTTAAAATAAGGAAAGTCAAATATTGATTATAACATTTTGATAAATTATTAAGGATTTTAGAATAGAAGAAATTTCAACAAATTACAAAATAAGTGGATAAAAGCTATCCTAGCCTAGCAGGTAAAATAAAATAACAAAAATAACAGTTATTCACCTAACAAATGCAGAAGTCAATCGGTCCTTAATTGGGCCGTTGCCTAATTAAAATGCAGAAGTGATACTTTACCGCAGGCAACGGCAGTCTAAGTGCGGTAAAGGCATTTTACGCATGTGTTAGGTACAAAAGTATACATATGAGCATCTATATATCTACCAAAGAATGTATTATTGAAAATTCTGAATGAGAAAGGATTTTTGAGTGTACCTGAACACCGAATCTACTTCACCGCATACGATGCAGTCTACTTTACTGCATATTTTCACACTATGCTTTAAAATGGTCATGACCAATGGTCACATTGAATGTGACGTGACGGTCATGACCGTCATGACCCACCGTCATGCG